GGGGGGGCGGGGGGCGGGGGCGATTCCGGCGCAATCGATCCGGGGCCGGGGGCGGGGGAGAGGGGGAGGCGTGTGGGAAACTTGCTGGCCCCTCGCGCGCGCGCGCGCGCCCCTCGGGGCACAGGCCGCGTCTATCCCCCCCCCCCCGGCTGCCCCGCCTGGCGTCCGGCTGACCGGGTGGGAATGGCGTCGCAAGTGAATGCGAAGCCTCGGGCGCGACCGGCCCGGACGGACATTATGCCCCGGTACTGCTGGAATCGGGGGCATGCCCCCCTTCGCCCCGCTCCTGTCGTGTCGAAGTGCCCTCGTCAGGCGTGCGATGTGGCCTCCCGCATGGCTTACCCTTATGGGGGGGGGGGGGGCAGAGGGGCGGGCGCCCCCCCCGTGGGATGATGCCAGCATGCGCTGTTCTCGCCGTCTCTTGGCCTCTCCGGGGAAGGGAGCCGACACGCCAGGGGGGCCGAGTTTGTTGGCGCCCCTCGGGCTTGGGCCGGTCCGCTCGACCGGCCAGCTGTGCGGCCATTCTCTCCCATCGAGGTCCCCTTCGCTGGAGGCCGCACGCCCCTGGGACTTTGGAGGGGGAATGGGGGGCCGCAGGAAAACCGGCCGCAGGGCGCATGCCGCCCGCGGGCGTGCCAGCTGAGCTGGAGCGCAGGCACGCGTGGAGGTGCCTCAGGGCTCTGGCGGTGGCCGGTGGCCCGGCTCTCCGGTCACCCCCTCTCGTCTCCTTGCGCCGGTTGTCCCCGGCTTGTCGCCTCGGTCTGCGCTGCCTCCGCTGCCTCCGCCGCCGCCGCCGCCGCCGCCCCCCGGGCTGCTCGTCCGTGGGGGTTCTCTCCGGTTGTTGCGCGTGCCAGCGAAAGCCGGGTTTCCCGGCTGGACTCTCATCTCCCCGGGGCGCTTGGCCGGCCTTCGGGTCAGTCATGGTCGAAGGGCATCCGGCGCGCGGGCGGGTGTGCACCCGCTTGTGAGCACCGTCCCACGCGCGCGAGTGCGCCTCCTTCTGGCCGGGCTTAACTCCCGACTCGGCGCCGCCTGTCTTCGAATGTGCTGGCAGCCGGAGGAGGCCTGCCCATCGGCGGGGAAGTGCCCGAGCGGGGCCCCCCCCCCCCCCCCCCCGGGCCTACACAGCTCCATCTTGGGCGACCGGCGGGTTGCTCGGATTCTTTTCTCCTGGCCGCCTCGCCGGGCATGGGCCCGCCAGCGCGAGGCCGGCACATCGGAGCGTCACGCGGGCGCCACATTCCCCCGACCCTTTCGGTCGCCTGCCGAGGGCTCGATTTCCCGACCTGTCCGGGGCCGGGCGCCATGTTTCAGCAGGAGGCCCTCGGTGCCCGGTCCCAGGCCGCGTCGGGCCCCTCCGGTGTCCTCGGTGCCGAGGCCGGGGCTCTCGGCGCTCCGGCGGCCTGGTGTCACGGGTTGTCGGCAACCCGGCCTAATTGGGGGGCCGCCAAACGCCTCGCCTGGTCGCTCTGCCTTCCCGGGCAGTCTGGGGAGGGGGAAAGGGCGCGTGGAGGCGTGCGTGGGTGCCCCGGCGCATAGTCCCCGCCTCCGGGTCCAGTTGCCATGCTGCCCTCACCGGCGGGGTCCGCACCGGGGCCCAGGGACAAGGCCCAGGTGGGGGGCCGTGGCTGCCCATGAGGGAACGAGAGGCGTCCGGGGGGGGGGGGGGCCGGGCAAGCAGGGGGCCCGCCCGCTAGGCCGAGGCCCCTGTGTAAGCCACGGAGATTGGGGGGTATGAACACCGGGGCCCGAGGGGTGGGCCCAGAGCTCCGACAAAGGGGAGGGGGGGGGGGAGGACGGAGGGCAATGGCACATGCAGCCTGCACAGCCGGTCCCGCCGTCAGGCCTGTTTTCCACCCCCTCCTATCACGATAGATATCCACTTTGGCCTCGATGGGGTAAATTGCACCGGGCGTTTTGGCGCCGCGGCATTGTCTCGCGCGATCAGCCCCGAGCGCTCCCCCAGCGAACAAGGCCGCCGCCGCCGCCGCCGCTGCCGCCGCCGCCGCCGCCGCCTCCGTAGCAGTAACAGCAGCAGCAGCAGCAGCAGCAGCAACAGCAGGATTCAGCCTGGCAGTGGCCGTAGGGCGAGTGGCGAAGGGGGTGGCGGGAGGCCATCGGGGCCGATCTGGGCTATCAGGAAGACAGGAGGTGCTCGCTGGCCGAGCGGGCTTCGGGTTTCGGGAGGGCGGCGAGGTTGGGCGGCAGCAGCCGTGGCTGCAGCTGCTACTGCGGCAACTCCCGGGCCCTTCCACCCTTCGGTCATGACCGGTGCCCGGTGGATTTTGGTGCCATTGCCTCGCGTCGGCATGCGCGTGGTTGTGGTCGGGGCCGGGGCCGGGGCCGGGGCCGGGGCCCGGGCCCGGGCCGGCCAAGCGGCCCTCCCCATGCCAGTGGCGCTGGCCCGGGGATCGAGCCCCGTGTCACCGGCTGATGCCTTTGGTCGGGAGGCACCGACAAGCACGCGTGCCCGTCGGCAACTTGTGCCACGCTGAACACCGGCGCCCGGGCCGGGGCGAGCGCACTATAAAAGCCGCCGCGCCGTCAAACACCCTCAGTGTCTCATTCAAGCCAAGATTCGAGCAGCCTCTACTCCTTTCTCCCCCTCTCTCTTTCTCGCTCTCCCTGCAGCCCCTTCTTCCCCTCGCCTCTACTGATTGCACTGTACGCACACACCAGCTACAAGCTCTCCCTCTCTCTCTCTCTCTCTCTCTCTCTCTTCCGCTTCGGGGTGTTATGTCACCCTGCCACGCCCACATGCGCCTGCCCATGCGCGCACATCACCTTCCGGTGAGAATCCCGGCATGCGCGCCCTGCCGAGGGGGAAAGGCCCCCGGGACCCTCGCCAAGCAGATCGCACGCCCTTTACTGACTCTTGCGCCTCCCGCGCCGGTGGGCGCCGTTTCCGCGCTTTTTCGCCCTCTTCGATCGTAGAGCAGGCGCACACGCACACACGCACACACGCACACACATCATGTTTACCGGGTCTCACAAGAAGTTCGCCGCTCTGGCCATGGTCCTGGTGGCCCTTGTCGGTGCGTGCCCCGGCCTTTGCCCATGCGTGCATGGCCCTGTGGCCTGGCGCCTGTCACCTGTCGCCTGTCGCTCACCCGGGACCTAACCCCGCCTCGCTCTGGCCCCTTCCCCCCCCCCCCCCCCCCCCCCCCCGATGCCGACTTGCTGCTGCCTGCCGGCCATGGGGCCACACGGGCAGCCTGCGCCTCGCATGGTGATGCCAAGGCCGCCACCCGTCGGTCTCGGCGGGCCCTTAGCCGCGTGCGCCAGTCCCGCCGGGCCCTGGGTCGCCGTGCGGAGGGGTCCTCCGCCAGCGGGTCGGAGACGCTGGGCTCCGGGGCCCCCGGCTCCGAGGCCCCCGGCTCCGAGGCCCCCGGCTCCGAGCCCTCCTACGATTACACCACCCCCGTGGACCTGACCACCTCCTGCCAGGTCGACCGCCTGGACTGGGACGTGGTGGTGGAGACATGCATCGACGAGGACCCCTGCACCACCGAGTGCGTTTGGGCCTGGTACCAGAGCGCCAACTGCTACCAGCTCTTCGACGAGGAGGGCGGCCCGGAGATCTGCCAGGACGAGCTGGACGAGCTGCGCGAGCTGTGCCCGGAGGCCACCCAGCTGGCCGAGGCCACCTGCACCACGAACCTGCCCCCGGTGCCGGCGGACTGCACCGACGAGAAGATGGATGACATGCTGCCGGAGAAGTGCCTGGCCGGGGAGGACACCGCCAGCCGCTGCAGCCAGGAGTGCATCGAGGCCGGCATGAACCTGTACGTGTGCGAGGTCAAGCGCTTCCAGTACACCGAGCAGCACTGCTGGGCCGGCGCCGTGGAGACCAGCCTCACGGACCCGGACTTCTCCAACCCCCAGCGGTGCCCGGCTGGCACCTATGGCGGTGACACCGCCACCGAGGATGTGGCTGCCCAGTTCCAGTGCGCCGCCCCGGCCGACGCGTCCGGCAGCGAGCCGCACTCCGGCAGCGAGCCGCACTCCGGCAGCGAGCCGCACTCCGGCAGCCAGCCGCACTCCGGCAGCGAGCACAGCGGCGAGCATGGCAGCTCCAGCTCCGGCAACGCGGCTTCCAGCCTGCGCGCCAACGCGGCCGCCCTGGCCGGCGCGGTCCTGGCCGCCGCGGCCATGATGCTTGCCTAAAGGCCGGCCGCGGGGGCTGTGTGGACCTGCCACCACCGCCGCGTGTGTCCCATGGATCAGCCTGTTGCCAGGCGCAATGTGCCTGGCAATCGGACAGCGTGGGGGCCTCTCCAACAGGGGAAGGCCAAAGCAACCTGGCAGGGAGGGGGACCCATTGCCCAATGGGCAACGCGTGTGTCCCCCATGTTCGTGTGTATGCGAGTATCCGTGTAGGTGTGTGAGAGTCTAACGCGTATGTATGTGTAAATGAATATATACATGCTTTTTATTGATGTGTGTGCATCATGTGTGTGTGAGAGAGAGTGTGTGTGTGTTAATGTATGTTTCTGCTGTCCTGCTCTCGTAAGGGGGGGGGGGCACCGGCGAAGGAGCGACAACAACCGGCCGGGGGAGATCCCTCCGCGCGTCATTTCCCGGGAGAGAAGATCGCCGCTTTATGCAGCACTGTGCCGATCGTGCAGGCGACCTCCGTGTCCCTTTTCCCTCGTACCGGCCCCCCCCCTCCCGAGCCCAGGCACCCAAGGGCCCCACTTGCCACGGCTCCGCTGGCCCACGCAGGACGCGTGTGGGCACATCTGTCAGGCAAGGGGGGAAACACAATTTCCCACCACCATCACCACCTCTACACCACTCTAAGAATAGACTGATATGCTCATCCACCATTCGTGCTACTCTCCGGCGCAATGCCGCAGAGAAGGGGGGCAGCAGAGGCACAGGCGTCGGGGAGGCGGCGGCGGCGGCGGCGGCGGGGGGGGGGGGGGAAAGACCCCGGCGCCGGAAAGAGGGGAACATGTATCCCGGACAGAAAGTACAACAGTGGGTGCATGCACCGGATGTGCGCC